CTCTGCAGGAAGGACATGCCCTCCGGCCGGTGCCGGGCCCAGGGCCGGGGTTCGAGCCGAGCGGGGGCAGGGAAGGAGAGACATTCACGTCGACCCGAGCCTGGGCCGAAGCCCTCGAGGGTGAGAGGAGCCCCCCTTCCCCTCCCCCACCCGGGAGCAAGCGGGGGCCGGGGGCCGAGCCGCGCGGGGAGCGGGCCGGCCGCACTCACCATGTCGTACACGTTGAGCACCACCAACTGGTTGGCCCCCATCCTCCTGCCCGCGGCCGCCGCCTCGCCCCCCAGCGCTCGGTCTCCGCGGGGCCGAGGCCGCTCCGCCCCGCCCCGCGGGCGCCTCGGGGCCGGAGCCGGGCCCTAAGCGCGCTGCCCGGCCCGCGGCAGCCGGCGCTGGAGCATCGGGAGGCCGGGCCGCTCCAGGGCGCCGCGGACAAGACCTCCGCGCCAACCGGGCGGACTGCTGGCTGCCCGCTCCGGCTCAGGCGCCTCCCCCGGGCGGCAGACACGTGGGGGAGGGCGGGGCCTGGCGAGGGGCGGGCGCCGGGAGCTCCGAGGGCGGAGCCGGCCCGGCGCCCAAGCTGAGCCCGCCTGCGCTTCTCTTTCCGCGGCCGCACCTCGGACCTAAAATGGCGCAGCCGCCGCGTCCCTCCACCTCGGGGAGCGGAGTTCTGGGGAAACTACAGTTACCAGCATGCAGTGGGGTTCACCCCGCTGCGTGCGTAACGCGGAGGCGGAGTCTCAACAATTACGGCCCTTCGTCGAGGTGTTCTTTCCAGGCCTTGACTACAACTCCCAGCATGCTGCGCGGGTCCCGACCCTATCAGACTAGGTCTTCTCGGGAGAGTACAGTTCCCAGCATGCAGTGCTTGGGAATCTGCGAATGATCTTTTGCGGCCCGCCCTTGGCTGCGGGGTGAGGTCCTCGATATGCGAACCTTATTCATTGGTTCTGCTGGTGCTGGTTTGTCGCGTTGAGCCTGGTGAAGATAACGAAATGTGGCAAAAGACCGCAGCAATGACCTTGTTTTCCAAATCCTTTTTTTTTTTTTTTGCAAGGGGCGGGGGTGGGGAATAGAGGAAGACGGGTTACTGGTGGTGGGTGGGGTGTAACATACATCCAGCTAATCCACAATGTGGAATTTTACGTTTTATGAAATTGTCCTGACGAAATGAGACTTAGATTAGCCCACCCCTAGCACACAGTTGGTGCTTTTGCATGCATTTAACAACTATTTGTTGTGTCTGCCATGTGCCGGGCCGTGTTGTAGGCCCAAGGAAATACAGTAATAAACAGGAAGGAGGACAAACAAAATATTGGTGGTTTGTGCTTTGCAGAGAATTAGAATAGGATGAACTGATTGGCTGCAGCGTGAAGGTCTCTTGCCAAGGTGAATTTTTAGCTGAAATCTGAATGACAAAGCCGCCCTATAAATATCAAGGGACAAGTATCCCATTAATAGGAAACCACAAATCTAATTGATTCAACTAATTAGGAATTGGTTCCCTAAGTGCACGCTAAAAGGTAGTTTGGATATTGGGAGTAGTAGGGAACACAGAAAATTAGCATTGGAATATCTTGGAAGTAGAGTCTACAAGCCTTGGGTTGGGTGTTGAGTTTTTTAGGGAGGGAACATTCAAGGATAACTTCTAGATTTTCAACTTGGGAAATTGTGAAGATGGTGGTGCCATTTATAAGATGTGAAAATTGGGAAGAACAGGTTGGTATGAGGGAAGTCAAGAGTTATGGTTTGGTCATGTTAAGTTGGAGGTGCCATTTATTTATTTTTTTGTAATCCTCACCCAACGAAATTTTTCCACTGATTTTTAGAGAGAAAGTGGAAAAGAGAGGGAAAGACAGAGAGAAATATCAATGTGAGAGAAACACATCGATTGGTTGCCTCCTGCACACGCCCTGACCAGGGCGGAGACCAGGGAAGAGCCTGCTCTTGACCAGAATCGAAACTTTCAGTCCGCTCTATCCACTGAGCCAAACTGGCTAGGGCTGGAGGTGCCTTTAGACATCATTTACAGGTCAAGTAGAGGAGGAAGAGGAACCGTGTGGCTGGAGAACATGGTAACACAAAAGCCACAAGACTGTTAGATTTAGCAATTTGAAGGTTACTGGTAGCCTTGACAGGAGCAGTCTCCAGGGAGGAATGAGGTCCAAAGAACATCTAGAATGGTTTGAGGAGTGAATGTAAGGTGAAGAAATGGAGACTATAGCGGCTAGGGCACAAATGGGATCCGGCTGTGTGGTCAGTGGAGGACATTTTAAAGATGAGAATACTAAGGTATACTTGTATGTAAAGAGAGAAATTGGTGATCTAGGAAAGAGGGCGAGGTTTCCAAGGGCAAGATAAGGAGAAGAGATCATCCAGTGCACAAGTGGAAGGAAGTGGAGAGGTTGGCCATTAGTAGGAGGGATGCTTCACCCATAGTGACAGTGTAGCGGTCAAGCAGAATGAAGTTAACTAGAAGAGGACGTTCTGCCAGAAAAAGGCGGGAGCCTGCAAGCGGGCCACATCAGAACAAAGTCTTGCAAGCAAGACTTATTGTTCAGAGGCAGAACTTTCCTTGAGGTGATAAATAGTCCATGAGGGCATGAAAAGTTCAAGGGAGGGGGCACTGCTGCAGGTGGAAAGCGTCTTTGTATAGCATAGGAAATTAATAGTGTAATGTATAACTTAGCTCTGATGATCTCATAAGCATGCCTGTTAATCATTGTTACTTGCTGTACTCACTGAATAAAAGCCATGAGGGCTTTGGGGGCCTTTGCTACTTGCCTGACTAGCAATAGCCCTCTGCTTCTCTAAACTTCATCCTGCACGCCAAGCTTGTCTCAGCGTCTCCGTTCACAAAGAACATCAACAGACAGCATATAAGGTAGATACAGGTGCATAGTGATGGCCTAGAAGCTATAGAGACAAATGGAAGCCGGTTAGAAATTTGGGGATGGGGAAATGAGGGTTTCTTTTCGGATTTGCTTTTTCTCAATGAATAAGAGACAAGATGGTCATTGGAGAGTCAGAGAGGGGAGAGGTGAAGTGGAAGGAATTTGAAGAGAGAAGAAGGTATAAAATAGGGAAAACAAATATACTAGGAAAAAAGGGTTGAACTCCAGGCAGTGTTGAGTGGCAACAAGTGCTCTATGCATGACTGTTAATTGACTGTCCTCAAAGTTGTGGACAAACTTTTTAAATTGTCGGCCAGCTGGGGAGAAAACATAGCTGGGATTCAGAGAATGATGGTGCTTTTTGTCTTAGACGTCCCCAGTTATGAAGTGACTTTTTTAGCTTGTTGGTATGGCAGTGAAATGTGGTTGATCTCTGACCAATCTTTGACTGCAGGGGTTGCAGTCACTGTCCAGGTAGGCACTGCAACTCTGTATCTGGAGTGGAAATCACCTTGGCAGAGGTATGTAATTTTCCCTGGCTAGGTTCAACATAGCTCACCTGTCAGTCCTGTGTTTCATGTGTCTGCAGGAGAATTATTTCATGTTGGTGCTAAGGTAAAGATCATCCTTGTTGAAATTTGGGTAATCAGCTGCCCCATTACATATATATGTATTGATTATATGTATATAATCGACTGCCTCCTGCATGCCCCGCTACTGGGGATTGAGCCCGCAACCAGGGCATGTGCTCCTGACTGGAATGGAACTGGGACCCTTCAGTCTGCTGGCTGACAATCTAGCCACTGAGCCAAACTGGCCAGGGCCTGTTTCATTCTTAATTGGTACAATGGGAGCTGGGGCCGAAACCCTGGGAGCAGACCAGACAGGAATTTGGTTTGCTGTTGGTTATCTGTATGAGGATGTTTACCAGGAGAATTCCATAGGATCAGCAGGTAATGGAATGTTGTTGACTGTGTGAGTGTGAACTGTTTTCTGATCTTCCTTTCACATGGGACAGTCTTGCTCATGATCATTTATCTAAAACACCTAAACAAAATAGGAGCAAATGAAACTCATCAATATATTAAAAAATAATATATCCAGACCCGTTTTTGAGATAGTTCATACCTAAGATGACTTAGCTCCAAGGAAACCAAGCTACCTTGGTACTCTGCTCAATGGCCATGAAGCACGGGCCAAATTCCTTTGTGGCAGACTTCCTGTGAAAACTATCTTCAGGGCCTAGCCAATGACTCTTGTATTGAGCAACTTTTGCTAATAAATTCCGTGTCAAGAAGGAAATACCAGTTGTTTATTTTTTATTTCATTTCCCTTGCCTTTGGGATTCAAATTCACAAAACCACCACTGAAGATCAAGGTCTACAAGTTTAGTGCCCATGTTTTCTTCTCTGTATCTTACTGTTTCAGTCAAACATTTGTGGACAAAAAGGGGCCACATGCTAATTGACTAACATAGGGAAGGCCCTGCATGGTGGCTTTGCAAACTCAGAGACCTACAGTTACCACAAAGGATGGTCTGAAATGAAAACTTTTAAAATTGAAAAGCAGTCTAATGGTGGGTAGTCATGTCCTAGACAGGTATCTTCCCTGACAAAGATCAACTTTGACCTTGACTGAGCCTATTGTCTTTTGGCATCTATGATAACATACCTTTAGAATGTCAGGGTAACCTGTAACTTCCCTTTTTCCGGACCCCTCAGGGCACAACCAATGTGTCAGGGCAGCTTGATCCCCAGTGGGAGCTGTGCAGGAGGCAGCCAACTGATGACTTCCTTTCTCATCGATGTTTCTATCTCTCTGTCCCTCCCCTTCCTCTATGAAAATCACTAAAAATATGTTTTAAAAAGAGAAACACAAACACATTAAGAATTAATTTTATAATATGAGATATATATGAAAATATTTGTGTTTTGGATAATTTAGGAACATTTTTCAGATCTTGAATTTGACGATACTTACTATAAACTTTTATTCTTAGTACTTCTTGGTCAAACACATGTTCTCAATATAAACACAATACATATTTGTACTTTGAGTATATTCCTACATATATATATATATCCATAGTAAACAAACTTTCATTTTTTTCCTAATTTTCCTTTTGTTTTTCTTTCTCAAGTATGAAAATCATCATGTAATGGAAGTAGCTAAAAGTTAGAATACTGCAGAACAGTAGCATCAGGATAAAGAGGACAGAAAAAACCAGGTAGCCATTTGGACTGAAATAAAAAAAAAAAGTCATTAGAAATGATTGGTCACTTTGGTTAATTTAGTCAAACAATTTCTAAATTGCTAGCTACTATTCCACTGACAGAGAACAAAGGTGAAGAAGACATCTTGTCCACCCTCGAAATGTTTACCTTTTAGTGGTTGAGGCTGACCAGGCAGGAAAATAGACAGTATGATCAATAGCATGAGAGGCTGCTGCAAAAAGGTGAAGCCTGTTTCCCAAAGTTACTTAGAAACAACACATGGCTCTTCTCATTTGCAGATTATTCGCACCATTAACCACCCATCAGTGCAACAAATTGAGGACTCAGTAATATTTAAAGTAGGGCTATAATTAATGATTTGTCTTGCATGTTGGTTTAACATTTTACAAAAAAAAAACAAAAACAAAACCAGGCCCAGGACAGAGGAGCAAAGTTATTTGTGGTCCCAACTTTAATCTAAATATATAAAAACCTAATATGTAAAGGGTCCCCTCAGGAGTTCCACCAACTGGGAGTTCGATCACTCGCTGTGACGTGTGCTGACCACTAGGGGGTAGTGCGGAACAAAGGAAGGCTCTGGCCAGCAGCCAGCAGCCAGCAGCCATGGAAGGGAGGCCCTGGCTGGCAGCTGGCAGCTGGCAGCCGCTAGGGACCCTACCCGTGCACAAATTTCATGCCCTGGGCCTCTAGTATTAACATAAGACTTTTTATTCTGCTCTCCAAAGAAACTGGCATGGAGTCCAGGAAAATGCTTTTACAACCAGTTACCTGGGTGTATCTGGACAATGGCCATTGGTCCAGGGCTGATTCAGGGTCTGTGCAGGCACAGCCACCATCCCCTCTCAGTCCCACTGCCAGTCTAGCTGCTGCCCTCAAGGTGGAGTTGAAAGACATGTTTCATGGGAAGAAGGTAGCTGTAGAGGGGTATAGAATAAAAGGGGAACCCAGCCCGGCCGGCGTGGCTCAGTGGTTGGGCATGACCTATGAACCAGGAGGTCATGGTTCAATTCTTGGCCAGGGCACATGCCTGAGTTTCAGGCTGGATCCCTAGTGTGGGCATGAAGGAGACAGCTGATCAACAATTCTCTCTCATCATTGATGTCTCTCTCTCTCTCCCCTTCTCTCCTCTCTGAAACCAATTTTAAAAAATTAAAGAAAAAAATGTTTTAAAAAGAGGAACCTAGCTGCAGTAACTCTTCTCAGGAGTTCCCTCCTGCTGGGTCCCTGGTGTAACAGATACAATTTCTAGGACAGCATAGAGGGCAGAGATATTAGGTCCCAGGAAAATGGGAGAGGGGCTTTTCCTTTTTAGCTACCACCTGTGTCTTTTACAACTTCTTTCTTTAAAGGCTGATTAGGCACAATTATTACCTGGGAATCACTCCAGAGATCTGTATTGCAAAGAGAGCTCTTAGGTCACAGAAACTGCAAATTAGAAAAAGAATATTAACGATTAAATTAAGTACAATATATTAAGGCTCCCTCCACTATCTCTATGGTAATGATCAAATCATGTATCATCTTAGTTAATGTGTCACTTTCTTGACAAAGGAGAGAGCAGATACATTTATATAACAGCAGTGATGATTTTTCTATATGTGTGACTTAGGCTGCTTGCTACAGAATTCCTTGAGCTGGTCGCTACAACCTCACCGACCTGTTAACAGTTTTATACCATTTTGATAGTGGTTCCCAAGACAAACGCAATCATGATATTAATAATAATTAACAATAATAAGTATTGACAAAAATAATAAAGTTATTTTTTGACCATTAATACTTACTGCAAATAATACTAATTGAGTATTTGCTATGTACCAGGCAATGTACCAAATGCTCTACATGATTTATTTTGGCTAATCCTTATAGCAACCGTTCCTTTTAGATGAGGAAATGGAGACTCAGATAGGTGAAGCTATTTATAAATGTTTACACAGTTGTAAGTAGTAGAGCTTGGATTTGAATTCAAGGTTTTCTGATCAAAGTGCATATGATGTTTACCTGATGTAGGCTAACTCCTCCAGGTAGCTGAGAATGTTAGGAGGTCGATATAGGAAACTGTGTTATTATTTCTGTAGTTACTGAGTCTCTCTTATAAGTTAGCATATTGCTTGAAATGAGACAGGATATAGCTAAATAAACATTAATAATATGATTTACCTACCTTCATGTTGCAGGAAGAGAGAAGAAGGAACTTTTTTATTGAGTGTTTGCCAAGTGCCCAGCAAAGTTAGGGATTTTAACCCAGGTACTTCATTTAATCCCAGAATACTATAAAATAGGTTTTATTGACTCATTTTACAGACAAAGAAATAACCTCAAAGAGACAAAGCAATTTGCGTAAGACTGCATAGCTACTCGTGCAAAATTAAGACTCAAACCGCCTTTGCTGGTTTGGCTCAGTGGATAGAGTGTCAGCCTGCAGACTGAAGAGTCCTGGGTTCAACTCCAATCAAGGGCACATGCCCGGGCTGTGGGCTTGATCTTCAGTGGGGGTGGGCAGGAGGCAGCCAATCAATGATTTTCTCTCATCAATGAAGTTTCTATCTCTCCCTCTCCCTTCCTCTCTGAAATCAATAAAAATATATTTAAAAATAAACATAAAAATATATTTAAAAAAAAGACTCAAAGCAAAGTAGACTTTCTAGCACAATGTCCTCAAGGTCCATCCATGATGTTGAAATGGAAAGATTTTCTTTTCTTATAGCTGAGTAATATTCCATTGTATATATGTACCACATCTCTCACTGATCCATTCATCCTCGCTTGACACTTAGGTTGCTGTCAAGTCTTGCCTATTGTAAATAATGCTGCAATAAACATGGAGGTACAGGTATCTTTTGGAAATAGTGTTTTGTGGAACTCTTCTGTTAATGGTGACCCCAGACTATATGACATTTTTTATTCTTTCTGCTAAGTCAGAAAATTATTTTAATAGCTACGATATATATATATATATTTACAGAATCAGTGTAGAATAGCTGTTGGTTTCTTCATAATTAACAGAATTATTTATACTTGAGGTCTTGGCTAAGAGGGGCTGAAATCAACTAAAGGTCTTGGATTGTTGGCTCAGAAATCATCTGAGGAAGCACGCCTTGTTGATATATGTCATGCTTAGTTTTTATGAAATAACCTGGTCCTTTTTTTTTTAGACTTTTTATTTTATTTTATTTTTTTAAATTAAATCTTTATTGTTCAGATTATTACATTGGTTCCTCTTTTTTCCCCCCATAACTCCCCTCCACCCAGTTCCCACCCCACCCTCTGCCCTCACTCCCTACCCACTGACCTCATCCATAGGTGCACGATTATTGTCCAATCTCTTCCTGCACCTCCCACACCCCTTTCCCCCCAAGAATAGTAGTCCATTCCCTATCTATGTCCCTGATTCTATTATAATCACCAGTTCATTCTGTTCATCAGATTATTTATTCACTTGATTTTTAGATTCACTTGTTGATAGATGTGTATTTGTTGTTCATAATTTGTATCTTTACCTTTTTCTTCTTCTTCCTCTTCTTAAAGGATACCTTTCAGCATTTCATATAATCCTGGTTTGGTGGTGATGAACTCCTTTAGCTTTTCCATATCTGTGAAGCTCTTTATCTGACCTTCAATTCTGAATGATAGCTTTGCTGGATAGAAGTAATCTTGGTTGGACGTTTTTGGTATTCATCACTTTGAATATTTCTTGCCACTCCCTTCTGGCCTGCAAAGTTTCTGTTGAGAAATCAGCTGACAGTCGTATGGGTACTCCCTTGTAGGTAACTGACTTTCTTTCTCTTGCTGCTTTTAGGATTCTCTCTTTGTCTTTTGCTCTTGGCATTTTAATTATGATGTGTCTTGGTGTGGTCCTCTTTGGATTCCTTTTGTTTGGGGTTCTCTGCGCTTCCTGGACTTGTAAGTGTGGGAGAGTACCTGTAGATGCCGCAGCAAACTGCTGGTTCTGGGTGCGTGGCCACTGTGACCTCTGAATGTCCCTCTCAGGTATGTTGGCAGTTGCTGGGGAAATGGAACCAACTATGGTCGACGGTAGTTTGGGAAACGGGGCAAGTTTATAATAGTCTAGGAAACGGGGCAAGTTAATATTAATAGCTAGGGCAATGGGGCAAGTTGATTAATAATACCTTGGTAACGGGGCAAAAATTGATTAATGATGTTTTATGTAATTCACTTGTTTTAGTAATCGCACTTAGCAACAATGATTGATTGTATAACCTTAAAGGAAATAAATAGGTTGCAACGGCGATCAAAAGATGCCGTTGGCCATTCACCTGCTTCTTGTGTGGTTGTCTTATTTCTGTCTTATGTCTTCCTTCCCACATGTAAGTCTATTTCTTTCACCAGGTAGGGGAAGTTTTCTGTCATTATTTCTTCAAATAGGTTTTTAATATCTTGCTCTCTCTCTTCTTCTGGCACCCCTATAATTCGGATGTTGGTATGCTTGAAGCTGTCCCAGAGGCTCCTTACACTATCTTCGTATTTTTGGATTCTTTTTTCATTTTGCTTTTCCTGTTGGGTGTTTTTTGCTTCTTCGTATTTCAAATCTTTGACTTGATTCTTGCAATCCTCTGGTCTGCTGTTGGGAGTCTGTATAATATTCTTTATTTCAGTCAGTGTATGCTTAATTTCTAGTTGGTCCTTTATCACAACATCGAGGGTCTCACTAGATTTTTTGAGGGTCTCATTAAGTTTATCAGCGGTTTCTAGAAAATTCTTGAAAAACCTTAAAAGTGTGGTTTTGAACTCTATATCCAGTAGTTTGCTTTCCTCCATTTCTGTCATTTCTGTCCTGTTTCTTTGTCTCGGCATTTTTTTTGCTTCGCTGTGTCGATAGAGTGGCTTTCTGTGCTAAGTGTCCTATAGGACACTGGTCCAGTGGCTCAGCCTCCCCAATTACCTGAGGTAGACACTCTTGGTACACCCCCTTGTGGGCTTTGTGCACAGTCTTGTTGTAGTTAAGCCTTGATTGTTGTAGGTAACACTGGGAGGAATTGACCTCCAGGCCAATTGGCTGTGAGAATCAGCTGTGTCTATGGTGGGAGAACTTCTGTGCTGAAGACACCCTTAAGGGCAAGACTTGCTTCAGTGGGGCTTTGGTGCTCACTGAGTCTGCCCCCTGAGTGTCCCTTATGGATCTGAGGAGTTGTAATTGGATGGTCCCATCCTGACCACTGGGTACACTGGTTCTTGGATCTAAGGAGGTGCTAATCTAGCCTCTGCCTGAGGCTACCCAGCAGAAGCCAGCTGTGAAGCAATGCAAGTTGCCCTGGGGCCTTGGGGCAGCTGCAGTTTGTTAAGTAATTTTCAGATTACAAAGGGCCGGGCCTTTCATATGCAAAAGCCTCCTGGCACGGCTTGGGCAGGGCGGGGTCTTAGGGGAGCAACAGGGCAGGCGGAGGTAGCATATGGCTGCTCTCAGTCCTGCCTTCAGAGGTCCTGGCAATCGCTGCGAGTGCCTCTGAGAGAAAGCTGCCCTTGAGTTCCGACCGATGCCAGACAGTCCCGTTTCTCCCGTATGAATCTGGGTCCCCAGAGACTCGCCCGGAACTGGAGCTCAGAGCCTGAGACTCCCTCCCGATTGAAAAAGACAATCGTGTCCTGAGCTGCCAGCCCTCTCTGCATCCACCTCCGCACCTTTGTATTTTACTTCTGCACCGCACCTCCTCTGAGTCTCGGTTTGCTTTTTTCTTTCCTTCTAGTTGTAGAATTTCCACTCAGCCAGCCTTCCTGTGGTTCTGGATGATGTCCATTCCGTCTTTTAGTTGTATTTTTGAAGTGGTAGTGTGAGGCAGCAATCTCTGGTGTTTACCTATGCCGCCATCTTGGTTTCTCCTGACCTGGTCCTTTTTATTAAAAACATCTTTTTATTCATTCTTTGGAGGCTTGAGTGACTCTGGCAGCATTCATCAAACACCTTCCAGCCCCCGACATTTACCACTTCTGCAGCATTCAGTTCTGACTGCATCCATTTCAACTTTGTCTGTTCTTTTCTAAGTTGCTTTAATAACATGAAATCATCCAGATTCTTTTCTCTCTCTTCTCGGAGGTGTTTTAATGCTGATGAAGTCTGAGCTGTACAATTTTTATGACTCTGTCCCTACTGACATGAGCCTCATCACTCATAAAATTGTTTACAGGTTTGGCTGGCATAATTGTTTCCTGCAGAGAGAGCTGTTATAACCATAGTGTTTAATTCATGTCCTGTCCTGTCATCAGTTGCCCTCATCACCTTAGTAATTCCTGGAACTGGGCAAACTCCTCATGATTCACATGCCACTGGGCACCACCATATTGGACCTACATCTTTCATTCTTCCTACTAGGAATTTCCTTCCCTCTTGACTTAGTGATATTGACATGTCTTCCTGGAACTTATTTATTGGACTTTGCAGAGTGAAGTAGACATTTTATTCTATCTTGTCATTATTCCTTTAAACAAATTCCCTGTGGAATTGTTCTTCCCCACCCCTGGATAAAATACTGTGCGTAATATTTGTACCATTCTTTGTGCTCTTCTCAGGCTAATATTTTGTTAGGAACTATACTTTCATCACAACACTCCCCTTGTAAAGATGCTAAGGAGGCATGGTTTGAAATTGACTTCAACATTATGCCTTACCTTAGTCTGCCTCCTTTGTTTTCTACCTTCCTCACTCAAGGTATTTTCCAACTTCCTTCATGATCCACAAGCCACAGGCATTTCATTATTAGCGTGGCTTCTGAAGGGTGTATTCTAGTCCTCTGGCAATGTAAATTCTACCAATGTTCCTTATTCTCCATGACGTTTTCTTCTGATTCTCAAAATAGCATTGATATTTCCCATCTTTGAATTATTATTCTGCTCATTAATAATACAAATTATTATATTTAAAAATATCTCAGTATTGCTCTGATTTAACCTCCCTTGGTTTGTCTGTGTCTTCCCCACTCCTTCTTCCCCAACCATTTAATTATAAGTGCCTTGAAGGCTGAGATTGTGCTTATGTTATATTTGCATCTGTCATAACCAAGGAACATAGTAATTGTGAATTGATTAATTAATGTTTAACATGAAATCTTATCTTCCACCCCCATACAATGCTTATTGTGATTGCCACAAAAATTAGAAAGCAGATTTGTAAATCATAACAAAAATTAAATATCTAGGTGACAGCAAATCAAATTAAATTAACACAGACAACAGCATGATGATTACCAGAGGAGAAGAGGTGGGAGAGGTAGAAGAGGGTCTGAGGGGAAAATGGTGGTGGAAGAAGACTTGATTTGGGAACACACAATACACTATAGAGATGATGTATTAGGAATTGTACACCTGAAACATATAATTTTATTAACCGATGTCACCCCCAATAAATTAAATTAAAAACTTAAATTTAAAAATAAAAATGTAATTTTGTGGAATTAATGCTAAAATGATTGTAATAAAACATTTATATTCACCTATAGTTTGGATCCAGGATCTTCACTTTAAACACATACATTCCAGCTTGCGGAAGAGGCCAAACTAAATGGTTACGGTTAGACTTGTTGATAATCTCGTACGGTTGACTCAAGTCTCCTGGTTTTCCAATACCATAAGAAAAACAGTGCTTATAGTTCTGAATAGGAAACAAAGACAAAAACCCACTTGATCAAACCATCTATAGCCTCTGAGAAAACAAATCTCCCCTAGCCTCAGGAATTACACCTCCTTTCTAGCCAAGGACTTCTTGGAATAGTATGTCAGCCCTGTCTAGAAACGTGAATCCTGTCTTCAGTTGTATGTGTGTAGCCAATAATTCAGTACCATTTCTCCCTTTCCTTCTCAAGCTCTAACATTAACTTGGAAGAACCTGTGAAAATGTCACTTTTCCTTTAGAGTCCTTCAGTTTTTCTTCTGAGAATTTACATCTCTATAGTTACCTCCCAGAGTACCTTTAGAGTCCTTCAGTTTTTCTTCTGAGAATTTACATCTCTATAGTTACCTCCCAGATCTTTATGCAGGCTATTCATCCCTGTAGAGTCAGGACTATGCAGCAATCAGCGTGGCTCCAGGAACTGGAATGCTATTTCATTCCAAATATATGTTTCAGGGAAAGAGCGCCACTGGTGGCCATGTTCAGATAATATACCCTCGGGAAGGGTAGCTTTGCTCACCCAGACATAACTAGTCTTTGCAGGTGCCTGCGTTCCATTATACTCAGACTCCAGACTGAATGCACCCTTCCGGTGCAGAGCTTTGTGTCTCCATAAAGTAGGAGTGAGTATTTAGGGCCTGGTGTGGGCACTTCAAAACTTTCTTGAATGTAAGCCACTATTTCACTAGTTCTAAAATGTGATCAGCAGTAGCAGCATCACCTGTGAACTTGTTAAACTGCAGATTTTGAGGTCCCTCCCCAGATCTGTTGAACCAGCAACTTTGGAGGTAGGGCCCAGAGACCTGTTCTAGCAGTGGTCGGCAAACTCATTAGTCAATAGAGTCAAATGTCAACAGTACAATGATTGAAATTTCTTTTGAGAGCCAAATTTTTTAAACTTAAACTATATAGATAGGTACATTGTTATTAACTTAATTAGGGTACTCCTAAGCTGGCCTTTGCTAAAAAACGTCCTCAATCTGATTGAGGTACATTCGCTGAGGTCGATCCCTTCCAACTCTCCCATCCACACTCGTCTTGTATACTTGTTTCGTCTATCTCCTTTCTGAAAACTGACTTCTGCGCATGGGCCACGAAGTTTCAATCGCACTGTACGTGCGCGCCCACACGTGATATTTTGTGGAAGAGCCACACTCAAGGGGCCAAAGAGCCGCATGTGGCTTGCGAGCCACGGTTTGCTGACCACTGCCCTGGTGATTCTGATGTGCATTAACATCTGAGAAACACTGCACTGAAGCATACTGACTGGGGCACACTCCAGCACTTTAATGAACAGGTGGCCCATTGCTTTAAGTAATGTGTTATTTTGGCTAAATCCTAGAATATTTGGGTGCCTTGTGTGAGATTTTGGCAAATAGAGTGTCACACAACCCCAGACCCTTCAACAAAAGTCATAGGGCAAGTTTCTTTTTTAACTGACTCCATGACTAGTTTAATTCCTTATGCTTTTTAAAAATATATATTTTATTGATTTTTTTACAGAGAGGAAGGGAGAGGGATAGAGAGTTAGAAACATCGATGAGAGAGAAACATTGATCAGCTGCCTCCTGCACACCCCCTACTGGGGATGTGCCCGCAACCAAGGTACATGCCCTTGACCGGAATCGAACCTGGGACCCTTCAGTCTGCAGGCCGACTGTCTATCCACTGAGCCAAACCAGTCAGGGCTTCCTTATGCTTTCTTAATAGCGGAATTAATACTCTATAAGAAGGTAGATGGCTATACTCTATTAATTAGTTCCACAGATATTTATTGAGCACTCAGAATGGGTAGATGGTGGGGATACAGCAGTGAACAAAACACACACAATTTTGTTTGCTTATGCAGCTTGCGTTCCAATAGGGGAGCCAGACAACAAATGGGATAAATAAGCAGACTACATACACAATGTGTCAGTGAGTGACACATGCTAATGACAGTAAAGAAAACTGGGAAGGAAGATATGGACTGCCGGGGTTATGGTTAACTTTTTCTAGAGAGTGGACCAGGTAGTCTTCATTGACTAGTTGATTTCTTTTAAAATGTATTTTTATTGATTACAGAGAGGAAGGGAGAGGTAGAGAAAGATAAAAACATCAATGATGAGCCCAAACTGGTTTGGCTCAGTGGATAGAGCATCCGCCTGAGGACTGAAGGTCCTGGGTTCGATTTTGGTCAAGGACACATGCTGGGGTTGCGGGCTCCACCCCCAGTGTGGGGTATACAGGAGGCAGCTGATCAATGATTCTCTCTCAACATTGATGTTTCTCTCTCTCTCTCTCTCTCTCTCTCTCTCTCTCTCTCTCTCTCTCCCTCTCCCTTCCTCTCTGAAATCAATAAACATATATCAACAACAACAACAACAAAACCCCAAAACATCAATGATGAGAGAGAATCATTGATCGGCTGTCTCCTGAACACTGGGATGGAGCCCGGAACCTGGGCCCATGCCCTGAAAGAATCAAACTGTGACCTCCTGGCTCACAGATCGATGCTCAGCCACTGAAACACACTGGCTGGGCTTGACTAGTTGATTTTATATATATATGTAGTATATATATGGTTTTTTTCTTTTTGACTGGTTGATTCTTAAGTAAAGACCTGGAGGAGGAAGCTGGCTAGTCATAGGGGAGGGGCATAGCAAATAATGAAGGCTTGGCTGTAACTGAGATGGGAACCATTTCATGGTTTTGAGCAGAAGAGTGACATGTTCTCGTTTATGTTTTGGAAGGAACACTAGCTGCTGTGTTGTGACTAGATTCGTGGTGGGCAAGGCTGAGGCACGGAGACCAGCAGGGATGCTGCTGTTCTAACCCAGATGGTTGGTGATGGAGGAGCAGGGTGGTGGCAATTGGGGTGGTGAGGAATGACCAATTCAGAATATACTTTGAAGGAAGAGCCAACAGATTTCCTGGAAGACCAAATGTGGGCGTGAGATGACGCTCAGAGGCTTCTTTCCTGATCAAGCTGCAAGGATGGGATTCCCACTCACCGCGGTGGGAAGGACGCTGGGCTATGTTTGTAGGGTGGATAGTAGGAGCTCAGCTGGGACATGTTAAGTTTGAGATGTTAATGGAAGCACCATAAATTTTCTTTAACACGGGGTTATTTGTCTCATCTTAGTAAAAAAATAAGACCCTCTCTTCGCCTCTTGCTCTCTAGCTACTACACTATGTCATTCTCCCCTTTGCCCCCAAACTCCTCAGCGGAGATGGCTATTCTTGCTGCTTTGAATTCATTGTTTCCATGTTAATTAAACCCACTTTGGTAAGTTTTTGTCTCTCACACTGCACCTAAATGGATCCTTCAAGGTTACTAGTTATCTCCATGCTGCTAATGTACATGATCAGTTTTCAATGCTCACCATAGTTGACCTGTCTTAGTGTGGACTTGACACAGTTGATCCCTCCCTCCATGTAAGACTTGCTTTACATGTTGTCTGTCTGGAAAACCACGCTCACCTGGCTTCCCTCCTGCTTCTTGGATTTTTCCTCTCTCATCTCCTTTGACCTCCTCATTCCCCCAGTCTCTAAATAGTTGAATGACCCAACATTTAGTTCTCTTCTTTTTGCCTCTAGATCAGGGTTTCCTACACTTATTTTGTGTGTGTACGAGTTTTTTATGTGGGTCCTTTTGTCAGTTTGATAAAACCTATGGGTTACCAAGGATACCTTCTTAGAAAAATGTTTTTAAAGACACAATATAAAATTGTGTCTACAAGGGAAACTTGTTATAAAGAATTATTGCCGACAAAATGTTAAAAACAGTAAGGTACTATATTATAATTTAAAAGATGTGCTTCTTTAAATACGGGATCTAATGCCAGATTTAACAAGCACCATAATGACTTTGGTGTAGTTGGAAGCAAGTTCATTAGGTAAGAAGGAGGATAGGTGAAGAGGTGTTGGAGATTTTAGGAGAGAGGAGAGAGTATACACTAGCTACTTATGAGACGGGGAGAGCGAACAAACTAGAGAAATACAGTTATATTTTTGGGCAGTGTGATGGGACCTTTTCAGTCATGACATGAAAATGAAACAAGTCAGCATGAGTATGTTTTTCTCTGACCACAGTCAGCTGCTAAGGTGGATAGTTGAATTTAACCAGGGTTGTGATTTAGTCACACAAATATGAAGAAGTAAGAGGGGGCAAAGGAATTGAGGGTACCTATTAATAGAGTGATATAATTATTGGCCATGGAATTTAAGCTGGATAAAGAGGGGAAGATAACCTGGGAGTGTGGTGAGGGTGGTAAGATCACTAGATTGAAGGTTAGGCTGGGGTTGAAGGATGGTTTAAAGTGTTGTTAGAGCCAAGCTTCTAGAGCAAGCATGTCAAACTCAAAGGCTAACACAGGCCAAATAAACAAGGTTTAAGTGACTGTGGGCTGTAAAAAAACCAAAGCTTCCATTTCCATAGAAACATAGGTTTATTTCGGTGGAGACATGCTGAGTACAAAGGGCCGAAATAAATGAGTCATCGTTAACATAAAATAATAGAATATTTTAATGAAAATTAATATTTTTTCTTGAACATTAACTTACCAGACACTGAATAACTGCACAAAATAATAAGCTTAACGCAAATAAACCTATTTTTCTTGTTCTCTGAAAGTGAAATATTTCCTCTTGCTCACACCAAACAAGTCAGTCAGTACAAGACTAATGACGTGGCCATCGGCTGCTAAAATATTCGCTGCTAGTATTATTGGAGAGAAATGGTGCGCCTGCGCATAAGGATAGAACCTGGCTAAAGAACCCTGGTGACTGAACCTGGCTGGAGAACCTGGAGAACCTGGCTGGAGAACCTATCGAGAGATCATGGCAAGAGAACCTAACACCAGAACTTCGCTGGAGGTCCTGACCAGAACTTTCTTACATACCATTATATTGGCTGGGCCACAAACATATTCATTGTGGGCTGCATGAGGCCCGTGGGCCGTGAGTTTGACATGTTTGGTCTAGAGTTATGTTGCTGGAAAGTGAGGGAATAGTGGATGGAGAGTGGAATGTTTGGAATACAGAGGACAATACACATCATTTGTATATATCTTTGTCTTGACATGCATAGATTCTGAGGCAGAAGCAAAGTAACATTGTGATTTTAGGATGAACATTTTATAGGCTGAGGTACCTTCTCTGTCACTTTTTATTCATAAGATATGATTTGATTCTCCAAATAACATACATTAATTTCAATTTAAGAAAATTCAATTGCAAAAAATTAAAAACAGTCTAGGGTTGATAATTGGCAGTAAGAAATGTTCTTTTGCCTGGCCGGTGTGTCTGTGTTTGAGGGTCGAACTCTGAACCAGGAGGTCAAGGTTCAATTCCCGGCCAGGGCACATGCCTGGAGGGCTGGATTCCCAGTGTGGGGCGTGCAGGAGGCAGCCAATCAGTGATTCTCTCTCATCATTGATGTTTCTATCTCTCTCTCCCTCTCCCTCCCTCTCTCTGAAAGAAATAAAATGATATAAAAATAAATAAATAAAGCAGTTTGCAAAGTAAAATTTTACTTACCTCAGGTCCCCAAACGTCTTCTAATGAGCGGTTCTTGTTAAGCCTGATCATTTTATCCCACGTCTGGGCCTCATTTAAACAACCACTCTGTCAAGATATATATATATGTATAGTATATCAATTTATTCATAAGTACTTCATATATTTTAATGCCATTGAAAAGTATATTTTAAAAAATGTTTAATTATTTAAATGTCTGCTGATACACAGAGAAACAATACACTTCTGTATATTGACCTTGTACGGCGAGAACTTCAATTCATTTAATTTGAGCTGTTTCAGATGAACAGTTATGTTACCTGTGAATATGACAGTTTCAGTTTTTCCTTTCCAATTCTTTTACTTTTTATGTAGTTTCATTGTTTATATATAGTTTGCCGCTTTACAAAGATCAGGAGCAATATTGTGCTGAAGTAGTGGTAATTGGCACTCTTATTTCATTCCTGATTTCAGGTTTTCAAATTTTCACCTTAAGTATGATGTTTTCTATCGGGTTTTTAAATCTATATTTTATTAGATCAAGGAAGTTACCATCCATTTATAATTTTCTAAGATTTATTTTAAAAATAATGTTAGCCCTAGCCGGTTTGGCTCAGTGGCTAGAGGGTCTGGGGACTGAAGGTCTGGGTTCGATTCCCAGTCAGGGCACATGACCAGGTTGCCAGCTCGATCCCAGTGTGGGGCAGGCAGGAGGCAGCTGATCAGTGATTCTCTCTCATCATTGATGTTCCTATCCCTCTCTCCTTCTCCCTTCCTCTCTGAAAAGCAATAAAAAAATAAAATACGTAAATAAAAATAATGTTATATATGGATGATAATTTTGTAGTCAAATAACATTTCATCAACTATTATAATTTTCTTTATTCTGGTAATATAGTGGATTACTCTGATTTTCAACTCTTCTATGTGAAATGAACAAAACTTGGTCTGTTTATTGATTTTTCTTTTTTAGAGAGAAAGAGCGAAACATCAATTAGCTGCTTCCTGCACGCCCCCTACTGGGGATCAAATCGAAACCTAGGCATGTGCCTTGACCGGGAATTAAACTGGCAACCTTTTGATGCATGGGATGATGCCCAACCAATTGAGCCACACCAGCCAGGCAGGATATAATATTGTTAATATATTGATGAGTTTTGTTACTAGTTTGTTTTGGTGTTTTGTATCATTGGTCATGAGTGAGATTGTCTCATAATTCTGTTTTGTTTTAAGGTTCTCTTGGATTCACAAAGTAAGTTGGATTAGAGATTTCTATTTTTTTTTCTTGGAATACAAGAAGCTTTGTTAAATCATGTTTATCAAGGCATTTGTCCATTTTATCCATTTGTTCCTTGTCAAATTGGTTGAGATAAATTTATTTATAACAACCTCTATTGTTTGGGTTGTAAAATGGTGATATTCTAATTCTGTCTTTTTTTCATGTGTGAACTGTAATAAACTTAGAAGAGAAGAGATGCTTCCCCTCATCTACTCTTTGGTGACCCACTGGTACAGTGTATTTGAGGAGGGTAGGATGATTATTTGTTTCTTTCTCTGTATTTGCCAGTTTTCAAAATAAGAAATTGGTTTGCTATCATTCTCCAAAGGTGAACTTAAAAAAACCATTATGAGCGCATAGATGTAACATATTTAATGGGTTTGACCCATTGCAATAACAATCCCAATGAAGCCCAACTTGCCCCAGCTTTGGCCTGTAGGACCTCTTCATGTTGACTTCTGGTTACTGTTGGCAGACCCTAGCAGGCTTGGATACTTCTTGCTATTGGGTGTGCCAAACTACTGCAAGTTCATCGGGTACATTTCCTCTTTCCGGTTGGAATCAGTCATTCATCTAAGAATCTCCAAGTACTTTTAGTGGGAAATGCCATTTCAAGACAACAATCTGGATACTGAGGATACTTACTGCTACTGATTAGTTATGTTTCCAGGGATCTTAAAAGACAGAGTAAGAATAATTTATCTATTTCTCTCTATAAAAATATGATATTCATATGTTTATATCCAGGTCAATATCTAATACCTCGTGGGTTTATATTGAGTTTTATACAAATTCAGGATTTTTGTCTAACTTCTTCTAGCCTACATAAGGACCCCTTGCTCAAATTAGATAGGAAAAGAAAAGAAAAAAAAAAGGGAGAGGTAGAAAGGGAGAAAGCATAGGGTTCAGTATAATGGATTTCTAGACTGTGTGAGAAAAAGCAAGAGTCAGAGAAGCAGTGGGAGTAACCATGAGAGAACTGGGGGGTTGAGATCAGAGACTGAAATGCGTGAGACTAAATTTGATTCCGGGAGGGGGAGTGATATTATTAGTTGAGATCATTTCTGCTCTGCTGCAGTAATAACCCCCAACTCTCAGGTTTACACATTAAAAGTTGATTCTTGACCACACAAATTCAATGCAGATGTCCCTGGTTAGATGGTTCTTTTGGATTACAAAGAAGTGACTCAGGAACTCAGGACTTTTCTGTATGGTGGCTCCTCGAAAGCCCCCTCACTAGATCCTTTCACCCAGCCCTCAGATACTCCATCTTTCATGGTTGCTGCAATCTATTGCATGTGAAGGAAGACAGGAAGCATGGAGGTTCACCTGGCGCCTCCTTAAGCACTGGATCCTGAGAATGAGACGCATCACCTCTGCTCCTAGTCAGGTGGTGAGGCCCAGTGGCAGGGCCCCAGCTCCACACAAAGGGGGCTGGAAATGCAGTCCCTGCTCAGAGAGCTTCTTCCTCCAAAGACCCTGCCTGGTGGCTGGAGGCCCTCAGGAGTTCACTGCGACTGTCCTCAGGGCAGGAGGAGGAAGCACTGAGTCTGAGCATCTGACAGTCACAAGTAGGGATGGGTTAGATGACAGCGGCTGACAAATCACATTTTACTTAGGGTGAGGAGACCATCTGGGAATCATAGTGTGAATTAGGGAGAACATCCATTCCACAGCTCAGCCATGAGAGAAAACTAGGATTTGGTAGGAAAATGATATCCTCTGAGGATCGCACAGTGAAGGCCTTCAGAGCCTTGAAGCCTAAGGTCCCCTGGGAAGTTCGAGAAGCTGGAGGGTAGTGGGAGTGTGGCCCAAGGATAGAAGGTAGAATAGTTTCCGGATGGGACTGGGCTGGGAAAGTAGAGCAGAAGGACTTGCATGTTGAGTGGCCAACAAGCGCAGGAGGAATGTGTGGTGTGAGGCATTATGTTTGGTGTCTAATTAAAGGGCGATTAGTTCTGGCAGTACTCTGGGGGCCGGGGGGTGGGGTAGGGGTAGGGGGGCAGCAAGTGGGAGAAGGTTTCTCAGCTGCCACCCGGGGGGTGGTCCTTCTTGGAGAATTAAGGTCTCTGATGGGAGAGAGTTACTTTGGAAGGAGCAGGTCCCTGGGGACTCTCAGGAATCAGTGCTGTAACTGCTAGAGAAGCTCCGTCATGATGCCCCCTCAAGGGCAGAAAGCCCCATGCGGGGGTGGCTGGGAGGGACGCGGGAGTGGGGTGGCAAGGCCTTTGGACCGTGGCCTGCAAAGTGAAAGGCAGAATGAGGGAGATTCACTGTGCAGGCCTCGCGCAACCAGGCGACCAGGCGTGGAAGATGCAGGAGAACTGGGAGAGAGTGCGGGCAGGGAAGTCAAGGTCAGCGAGTCACATGACGCAAAGAACTCCAGTGAGGTGAAGCCGGGAGAGTGTCTGTCTGATTTAGCACAAATGTGATCAATGCCTGGAAGCCAGAGGCAGACTCGTAAATTCTCCAACATGAAATGCAGTGTGGAGAGAAAGGAAAGTATTGATCTATAATTGCATCATGCTACTATAAATATTACTTTATATGTTCCTAACCCCTGTAAGTCTGTTTTATATGACAATGACTTCTTTTCCATAAGTTAATTTTATCAGTCATAGGCTATCGAGGTTATACGTGTGTTTTTTTCCTACCCTCAGCGGACTGGTTTTATTTTCCTTAGGTAATTTATATATACTAGTAGATTTAAAATAGAGAGACATGTCTAATTGCATGCCGAGTTCTATTTAATTCTAGGATGGCGTACCTTCTGCATAGTGAGGTTATAGGAGTAGTCATCCCTGCCGTGGATTTCCCACACTATGAAATTTGCGTCAACATCCTTGATAAAGCCATTTTTGTTGTATCTGAAAAACAGCAAACACAAAACATAGTTGCGTCATCCTACTAGAAACATTTTATTTCTTCTGACCCCTTTAAGCCTGTTTTACATGACAAAGACTTCTTCATAAATTAATTTTCAGGGGCTGGTTTCATTTTCCGGTGGAATAGAGCAGTGGTCGGCAAACTGTGGCTCTTCCACAAAATATCTCGTGCGGGCGGGCATGTACAGTGCGATCGAAACTTTGTGGCCCATGCACAGAAGTCGGTATTTTGTGGAAGAGCCACACTCAAGGGGCCAAAGAGCCGCAGTTTGCCCACCACTGCAATAGAGGGATCAAGAGCTCCGGTGTTCGAGTTGGATGGGCTTAGGTTTAAATCCCGTCCTTTTCACTGAACAGCTTTGTGACCTGGGGAAGTTCCTTCAGCTCTCAAAGCCTCCACGTTCCCGTCTGTGAAAGCATCACCGTGCCTACTGTGTGGGTTTTCTTCAGCTCTCAGAATACACCAGACAGGAGCGAAGCAGATTTTTCTTTTTAACATTTGGAGCCATAACTTCTCTTTGCTTAACAGGCACCATGTATTAATAAGGCGAGGGTGGCCGGGGCCCTGCCAGCAGGCTGGCAGCAGGGAGAAGGATGGAAGTGAGCGATGGAGGGAGGGAGGGCAGAGCAAGATCCCCTGGTGTCATTTAATCAACGAATATCCAGTGTGGCCCAGTGTGTACCAGGGAATGAATCCACAGAATGACCATGATGAGGATGGAGATGCTGCAGGTCTCCCTGGAGGAGGCAGCTGGAGGTGACACTGGGTGTCCGTGGGTTAGCTTGCCCTCAGGAGAACTGAGGTGGGCTGAGAAGCAGGAGTCATCAGAAGCTCCGGGAGCGATGGTCATGCACAGCGCATGCTCAGGGACACGTGAGGACTCCTGCCAGCAGCTGGCGCCAGCACATGGTCCAACATGGACAGGCTGCCCACTCCCTGACGCAGGCGCCTGAGACATACGCCCCATTGAGATTAGAGTATTTACCCCAATCTCAGTGAGTTTTAAAAGAGATGTTACTTCAAATTAGTAAGATTATTTTTCCCTGATATCATTAAGAAATAAGGACTTGACCCCAGCTGCCATGGCTCAGTGGTTGAGAGGAACAAATGTAATCTGAACAATAAAGATTTAATAAAAAAGAAAGAAAGAAAGAAAGAAAAAGATCTTGAATTCTGAGCTGGCATCTTTTGACACTCACAAAAACCAATACGCTCCAGTGCCATCTAGTGGCCATAGGATAAATTGCATGACCCCGACTTTCTGGGTTTGGGAGTCCTAATATTTGATGACTGGAGAAGATTTGACTTTGGGTGGTGGGCACCCCATGCAATATACAGATCACGTAACACAGAAACCCACATCTGAAATCTGTATGTTCCTGTTGACCAATATCATCTCAATTTAATAAATATATATATATTTTTAAATGATCTTAGGTAATATTTTATTTATTTCATGGAGATTATGGGACAAAAATACTTGCCTAAGTAAGCATGGCTTATTCTCATTAATGTTCACTGATAGAAGATACAGAACGATGGCAGGAAAGTTCTCTAGCTGGAGCTCTCCAAGCCATTGCGGAAGGAATATTGAAGAGGTCAAAAAGGTTTATTGGCATGCTAATTGCTGTAATTCTTGGATTAATTGCTATAACAGCAACAGCTGCAGCAGCTGGGGTGGCATTACAGTGATCAGTCCAAACTGTTACTTTTGTTCAAGACTAGCATAAAGATTCAGAACAGTTATAGAATTCTCAACGGAAAATTGATAGTGAAATCAATGAACAATTGGCCGATCTTGAACCATCAGTAGTTTTATTAAGGGATCAAATTGTTAGTTTGCAAAAGCGATTACAGTTAAAGTGTGATTAGAACCATACTGGTTTATGTGTCACCCCTGTACCTTATAATGAAACAGCTTTGCTATCTTCTCTGTCATGATTCAAACCTGCAGCAAAACTAAAAAGGGGGAAATTGTAGCTGGACAAGTGATATGAAGTTAACTAGAAGAGGACGCCCTGCCAGGAAAAGGCGGGGGCCTGCAAGCGGGCCATGTCAGAATAAAGTCTTGCAAGCAAGACTTATTGTTCAGAGGCAGAACTTTCCTTGAGGTGATAATAGTCCATGAGGGCATGGAAAGTTCAAGGGAGGTTACACTGCTGCAGGTGGAAAGGGTCTTTGTATAACATAGGAAATTAATAGTGTAATGTATAACTTAGCTCTGATGATCTCATAAGCATGCCTGTTAATCATTGTCACTTGCTGTACTCCATTGTTATTTGCTGTACTCCTCAAATAAAGGCCATGAGAGCTTTGGGGGCTTTGCTACTCGCCTGAGCGAGCGGTAGCCCTCTGCTTCTCTAAACTCATCCTGCACGCCAAGCTCATCTCAGCGTCACCGTTCACAAAGGACATCAATACTATTACATGAAAAGAGTGAAACACTGAGGTGCTAGAATTTCTTTGTTGCCACAGCATAATCTGGCCATATTTGACTAATGCAAGGGGAAATAGTCATACTGGAGATATAGTTTTTGGGGGTTTATCAGTATATTGAGACATTCAGGTCCATGAGACTGGATGATACTACAAAAAGAACAAGTTGAGATAGAGAAAAGAAAAGAAAGCTTTGAGCCTAGCAGTTTTAGATCAGTGGATAGAGCATCAGCCTGCCGACAAAGGGTCCTGGTTTGATCCGTCAAGGGCATGTACCTCAGTTGCAGGCTCCTCCCTGGCCCCGGGCCCTGGTCGGGGCTGGTACAGGAGGCAACCAATCGATGTGTTCTCTCACATTGATATTTCTCTCTGTCTTTCCCTCTCTCTTCCACTCTCTAAAAACCAATGGAAAAATATCCTTGGGTGAGGATTAAAAAAAAAAGAAAGCCCTGAGCCTTGGGCATTTCAATATTAAGAGGTCATGGCGGGAGGGAGGGAAGAAACTATGAAATTAAGGAGTAGCTGCTAGTGAGGTAGCAGGAAAAGCAGGAGAATCCAATGTCCTGGAAGCCAACGGAAGAAAATATTTCAAGTAGGAGGGAATGCTCAAATGTGCCATTCTTGTTAATGAGACAAAGTAAGGTTAGACCAGAGAACCGAGCCTTGGGTTTAGCAATGTGGAGGCCATTGGTCACCCTGGCAAGCAGGGCCAATGAAGTGGTGGGGGTAAAAGTCTGACTGACAGGGATCTGGGAGAGAATAGAAGAACTGATGACAGTGAGTATAGTGGCTAAAGAGGTGGTGGGGTCAAGAGCAGGTTTCTGGGAAAGAACTGCATCTTTATATGGTGAACCAGAGGGTAAAGTTGATGATGCAGGAGAAAGAGGGGACAATTTCTGGAGCAATGCTCTTACTTAGGAAAGGGGTGGGGATACATACAGTTCACAAATGGAGAGACAGAGCTTAGATATGCATATAGTTAATCTATGCTGATAGGAAGACAGAGTTCATGGATGCAGAGGCGTGGAGATGAATGGGTATGGTGATGGAAGTTTGTGGAAGATCTCTTATGACTGTGTCACCTTTGACTCATTCATCTTCCTCATTTTCTTTCCCTTACTATTCACATCTATCACTTATCAAGCCCTGTCTAAGATCGATCTATCTAGATAGATATTATCTATCTATCTATCTATCTATCTATCTATCTATCTATCTATCTATCTATCTATCATCTATCTATCTATCATCTACCTGTCTATCGTCTATCTAACTATCTTTAAGATTTTTTATTGACTGTTAGAGAGAGAGAGAGGAAAGGAGAGGGAGAGAGAGAGAAACATTGATGTGAGAGTGAAACATTGATCAGCTGCCTCCTGCATGCCCCCTACTGGGGATCAAGCCCACAACCCGGGCATGTGCCCTGACCAGGAATCGAACCAGGAACCTTTCAGTGCATGGGACGATGCCCAACCAAGTGAGCCACACTGGCCAGAGCAAGCCCTGCCTATATAATCGCTAATTTTCTCATAAATGATTCCTCTTCTTGTTGCTATTTCAGTAATTTAGTTATACCGTCTTACTACCTGAATTTCATCGGACTTGTTTCCTTGAAATTCATCTTCCGCACTTTTCCCAGAGAGGACTAGCTGGAGCACATGTTGGGTCAGAGTGCTCTATGGGAAGAATGGAGGGGAAGACCTCCATGCTCTCGAGTCCACCTGGCTCGTTTCTCAGCCTCTTCTTCTGACACTTCATTTCTCCCTGTGAGCCCCACCAACATGACTCTACCTGAACTATACATTTCCTTCCTCAAATTTCACTTTTGCTGGAAAGGCTTCGCCAGTGGAATTGATTACCTTCCTCACCTCTCTTCTTCCATCCCTGCCTTCAGCTAAATGTTCATTATCCTTTAAGACTCAGTGGCACAGCTCAAGTGCATGCTTTCTAGCAACATTCCCCGGAGCCCCCCTTCCTTCCATAGCTAGGCTGGATACTTTCCCTTTGAGTTTCAATGCCAACCACCCACACTATTTCTTTCTATCGTTCCACTTAGCTTATCAGCTCATGTGTTTATCTAATTCATCAGACTCTTGAGCCCTTGAGTGCAGCAATCCTGTCTTATTTACCTTTGAGTTCCCAATGCCCAGCACAGTAATTAGTGAAGAGTAGTCATTTAATAATGATGAAGTGAGCTGAAGAGTACACTTCCCTGGGAGAGAACATTAAAATAGCTTATTCCTGGGGGCTGAGGCCCATTCCTATATAATAAAAGGCTAATATGCAAATAGACTGAATGGAAGAACAACGAGAACAACCGAACAACTGGTCACTGTGACGTGCACTGACCACCAGGGGGCATGTGCGGAACATGGAGGGTGTCGGCCATGGTGGAATGATGGAGCAGGTGAGCAGGGGTGCCAGACCAAGGCGGGGCACTGGTCGCTGTCATTGCGGCGAGCCTCTGGTGGTTCCTGAAAATTCTTTGCTGCTGCTGGCGTTGGCCCCACTCCCACCCGCTGCTGGCATTGGAGCCGCTGCTCACACCCGCAGCTGGTGCCGGAGTCACTGCTCACACCCGTTGATGGCGCCAGCCCCACTCACACTCACTGCTGGTGCTGGCCCCAATTACTCTGTGTCATCAGCAGGTGCAAGTGGGCCGGCACCGACAGTGCATGGAGGGGCGGCCAGAGCAGGGCTGTGGGCAGAGAGGGGACAGAGGGCCACAGTGGGAGGGTCAAGGCAGGGGCACAGAGGATGGGTTGAGAGCCACCCCTGTGCCTACCGCAGCCTCACGGACCACAGTTCCTTTCAAGGTGCATGAATCTGTGCACTGGGCCCCTAGTATAAAATAAACAAAGAAAACTGGGCTTTGGTGAGAGGAAGAGTGTGGGATGCCCAGGAGGATCAGTGGCCTGAGTAGGTATATAGAAGATCAAAGTAAACAAGATAGCAGACTAACCAGAGGCTCAGAGGACCTGTGATCGAGGGATTGTAGGAGGGTGATGTAGGAGGGTGAGGAAATAGTGTGGAGTCTTACAGCTGCCGTGGTGAGGAGTGTGTGTGTGTTTGTGTGTGTGTGTCTGTGAGGTGGGGGATATGCTGGCAGAGGCCTTTTGGATCCTCACAGGGAAAGGTCTGATGACAAACCTGAATTGAAGCTCCTGACTCATTATTCTACCCCCACCCACCCTGTGGGATCTCAGAAGTTGTCAGCCGAAGAGGACCCTGAAAGCTGAATGCCCTGACTAAAATGTTGATGTTTTTTTTTTAAAAAATACTTTATTGAATTTTTACAGAGAAGAAGGGAGAGAGATAGAGAGTTAGAAACATCGATGAGAGAGAAACATCGATCAGCTGCCTCCTGCATGCCCGCCAGTAGGGATGTGCCCGCAACCAAGGTACATGCCCTTGACCGGAATCGAACCTGGGACCCTTCAGTCCGCAGGCTGACGCTCTATCCACTGAGCAAACCAGTTCGGCAATGTTGATGTTTTACACCCAGGATTTTACCTTCAGTAATGTATCCCAATGGCATCTCTGGACTAGTGTCCAAACATGTACATAAATGGATATTCACTACAATTTTATTTATAACAGCAAAACAATTAGAAACATGATCATTTATCTTTTTATATATTTTAAATTTTGTAACAAGCTATGTGACTTCTGTAATCATAAATCAAGAATAAAGTCAGAGAAGCAAGCAAATGAATATAAAATTACTTGAAAAAGCCTTCCTCATAGCATTTTTACTTAATATTTTTAATATTGTTTATAAGAATTTAGTTAGAGATATTTTTGAAATCTCCCTATTCCCTTATTAGTGAATAGTTTCTTTCCTTGCAAGCTTTTAGTTATTATTGGCCCATAGAAAGAAAAGTCATATGTCACCCCGGGAAGGTAGTTTCTTCAAACTATCTTCAGTAGGAGCTTGGGAAGTGATTTAGAGAGGGAAAGTGAGGGTTAAGAGACTTGCCTACAGCCCGGCTACCATGGCTCAGTGGTTGAGCACCAACCTATGAACCAGGAGGTCATGGTTTAATTCCCCGTCAGGGAAAATGCCCGGGTTATGGACTCGATCCCCAGTGGTGCGAGTGTGGGAGGCAGCTCATCATTGATATTTCTGTCTCTCCCTCTCCCTTCCTCTCTGAAATCAATAAAAATATATATTTCTTAAAAAAGAGACTACATCTCTGAGAAGAGTCTCATCTTTCTTATCCATTTATGTCTCAGGTGCTAAATTGTAACCTCCCTCAACATGCAGGAACCATGGTTATCCAAATTTGGTTAACTAATACTGAAAATCTAGTGTCACATATATTGGGTGCTCAAAAATATTTATTATTAAATGCATGATTAATTAGCCCTCTTTTCATTTTGAAACTTTGAAAGTAAGTTCAAATTTTAGTAGAATATACTTACAGTTGAAGCAAAGGGTGAAATTTGTCTTTGAAATCAAGTTTCAATGGGCAGCCATATTTTCTCCAACTATATTTTACTCTCTAGAAAAGGAAAAATGCTTTGGTTATTTCCTCTATTAGGCTGATTAATAAAATTATAGTTTTCTTACCAAGTCTGTAGATGGTCGATTCCTCAGAAATGACCTATAAAAAGATATTTTTATTACTTATCTTTTCTCTTCTCAAACTTAAACATTAAGCCATTACTTTGTTTGGGGGGGGGAGATATCACAGAAGTCAAGTAGATAAGCATAATTCCAAAATACTACCAAACTATGTGGAGATAAACAATACACTTCTAAGTAATACATGAGTGAAAGAAGAAATCTTAAGAGAAATTTAAAAATACTTAAATGAAAATGCAACTTTTCAAAATTTGTGAGATGCAGTTAAAGATGCAGTGCCTAGAGGAAAATTTATAGCAATGAATGCATCCTATATAATAAAAGGCTAATATGCAAATCAACCAAATGGCAGAACAACCAGTCGCTATGATGTGCACTGACCACCAGGGGGCAGATGCTCAACACAGGAGCTGCCCCCTGGTGGTCAGCATGAAGCCGAGCTCATGGCTGGTGAGTGCAGCGGCGGTGGTGGGAGCCTTTCCTGCCTCCATGGCAGTTCTGAGGATGTCCCACTGCTGGCTTAAGCCATCAGTGCGACACCCCCTGAGGGCTCCCAGATTGTGAGAGGTTGCAGGCCAGGCTGAGGGACGCCACCCCCCCCCTCCAAGTGCACAAATTTCGTGCACTGGGTCTCTAGTTTATTATAAAAGATTGATGTTAATAGGAATAAATACTGACTCTAAATTATTGACACTAAATTAATAAAAACTCAGTGCTTATGGTACAATATTTCTTACTTTTCAATAATGTAAAAGAAATCATGCCGATGACAACCTTTGTAACTAAATCTACAAAAAGAAACATAATGAAACTGTAATATCATTCTTTTTATATACTTGCACAAACATTTAATCATTTAACTCAGTAATTCTAAAACTTGAGAGTATTACAGAGTCGTCACTTATTTAATTATAATCTCTGGGGTTGGTGTGTTGCCCTAGTATTTCTATTTTTAAAAATCAGTTACACAAATGTTCCTGAAGATACCAGAATTTGAAATCTATTGATTTATTTCTTCTATTTGATACCTGTGAAAACCTGATAGAAAATCTATCAAAAATGAAGACAAATTTCTGTGGATGGTTTTATTTCTCATACATTTTTTAATTTTTAAAATATATTTTAGGAGAAACCAAGATGGTGGCATAGGTAAACACCAGAGTTTGCTGCCTCGCACAACCACTTCAAAAATACAACTAAAAGATGGAACGGACATCATCCAGAACCACAGGAAGGCTGGCTGAGTGGAAATTCTACAACTAGAAGGAAGGAGAAAAGCATACTGAGACTCAGAGGAGGTGCAGTGCGGAAGTAAAATACTAAGGTACAGAGGCGCACGCGGAGCAGGCTGGTGGCTGAAGGCGAGGTTGTCTTTTTTAATCGGGATGGAGTCTCATGCCCTGAGCTCCAGTTCCGGGCGAGTCTCTGGGGACCTAGACTCTTCCGGGAGAAGTGGGAGTGTCTGGCATCGGTCTGAACTCGAGGGCAGCTTTCTCTCGGAGGTACTTGCAGCAATTGCTGGGACACTAAGAAGCGGGGCCTCTGAAGGCAGGACTGAGTGCAGCCATAACTGCTCTCTCCGCCTGCCCTATTGATCCCCTAGGACTCGCCCTGCCCAAGCCTTGCACGGGGGCGTTTGCTGGATAGCTTCAGGCAGAGGCTAGAATAGCACCTCCCTAGAGCTCCAGGACAGAAGTTCTCCCACTGCAGACACAGCTGATTCTCATAGCCAATTGGCCTGGAGGTCAATCCCTCCCAGTGTTACTTACAACAATCAAGGCTTAACTACAACAAGACTGTCCACAAAGACCACAAGGGAGAGCACCAAGAGTGTCCTCCTCAGGTAATTGTGGAGGCTGAACCACTGGTCCTAGAGGACACTTAGCACAGAAAACCACTTTCTCAACACAAGGAAGCATAAAAAATGCGGAGACAAAGAAACAGGACACAAATGACAGAAATGGAGGAAAGCAAACTGCTGGATATAGAGTTCAAAACCACACTTTTAAGGTTTTTCAAGAACTGTCTAGAAGCTGCCGATAAATTTAGTAAGACCCTCGAAAAGACTGGTGAGACCACCGATAAATGTAGTGAGATCCTCAAGAAATCTAGTGAGACCCTCGATGTTGTGATAAAGGACCAACTAGAAATTAAGCATACACTGACTGAAATAAAGAATATTATGCAGACTCCCAACAGCAGACCAGAGAATCGCAAGAATCAAGTCAAAGATTTGAAATATGAAGAAGCAAAAAACACCCAAAAGGAAAAGCAAAATGAAAAAAGAATCCAAAAATATGAAGATAGTGTAAGGAGCCTCTGGGACAGCTTCAAGCATACCAACATCTGAATTATAGGGTGCCAGAAGAAGAGAGACAGCAAGATATTGAAAACCTATTTGAAGAAATAATGACAGAAAACTTCCCCTACCTGCTGAAGGAAATAGACTTCCAAGTCCAGGAAGCGCAGAGAACCCCAAGCAAAAGGAATCCAAAGAGGACCACACCAAGACACATCATAATTAAAATGCCAAGAACAAAAGACAAAGAGAGAATCTTAAAAGCAGCAAGAGAAAGAAAGTCAATTACCTACAAGGGAGTACCCATACAACTGTCAGCTGATTTCTCAACAGAAACTTTGCAGGCCAGAAGGGAGTGGCAAGAAATATTCAAAGTGATGAATGCCAAGAACCTACAACCAAGATTACTTTATCCAGCAAAGCTATCATTCAGAATTGAAGGTCAGATAAAGAGCTTCACAGATAAGAAAAAGCTAAAGGAGTTCATCACCACCAAACCAGTATTATATGAAATGCTGAAAGGTATCCTTTAAGAAGAGGAAGAAGAAGAAAAAGGTAAAGATACAAATTATGAACAACAAATACACATCTATCAACAAGTGAATCTAAAAATCAAGTGAATAAATAATCTGATGATCAGAATAAACTGGTGATTATAATAGAATCAGGGGCATAAAAAGGGAATGACTATTCTTGGGGGGGAAAGGGGTGTGGGGGATGCGGGAAGAGACTGGACAAAAATCGCGCACCTATGAATGAGGACAGTGGGTGGGAGTGAGGGCGGAGGGTATGGTGGGAACTGGGTGGAGGGGAGTTATGGGGGGGGAAAGAGGAACAAATGTAATAATCTGAACAATAAAGATTTAATAATAAAAAATATATATATTTTAATTTTTAAAAAATATATTTTTATTGATTTCAGAGAGGAAAGGAGAGGGAGAGAGAGTCAAAAACATCAATGATGAGAGAGAATCATTGACCGGCTGCCTCCTGCACACCCCACACTGGGGATCAAGCCCACAAATCAGGCATGTGCCCTTGACCAGAATTGAACCTGGAACCTTTCAGCCCACAGGCTGACGCTCCATCCACCGAGCCAAACCAGCTAGGGAAAATATGTTTTTATTGATTTCAGAGTGGAAGGGAGAGGGAGAGAGAGAGAGAAACATCAATGATGAGAGAGAATCATTGATCAGCTGCCCCCTGCATGTCCCCTACTGGGGATTGAGCCCACAACCCGGGCATATGCCCTGACCAGGAATTGAACCTTAACCTCCTGGTTCATAGGTCAATGCTCAACCCCTGAGCCACACCTGCCAGGCTCTCAGACATTTTTTAAAACACCCATTTCTAATTTATGCTAGAGACTCAGTTGTGCAGGTAAGGAGCTACTTTAAGAATTCACATATTTCTAATTAGGGTTCATGCTGACATAAGGTTATCCTGGTGTATGAAATGATAGCATTTTCTGGAAGTTAAATTATTCATTTGACTATTTTTGTTGGCTGCTTCCAGTGTAACTTATAAGAATAAACCACTGTGTTTAGATAGATATTGGAAGTCTATCTAATATCGCCCATCTCAAATGCAAATTAAACCCCAAGAAATGCCCTCCTTCATTGACAAGTCTCCCGTCGGAAATACCTTGGACCCCACAGGCCTCCTTTGGTAACTGTAAAGCCTTAGGCCCACCACAACCACAACCTGAATCTAAGATTCAGGTTATTTTTAGGTTCCAGAACAATGGTCACTGACTGAGAGGCCTCAACTTTAGTCGTGAAATCTGTGTTTTGTAAACGTGCTCTCCCGGTGATTCTGATAAGTGACTGTCTAGACCAGTGGTTCTCAACCTGTGGGTAGCGACCCCTTTGGGGGTCGAATGACCCTTTCACAAGGGTCACCTAAGACCATCGGAAAACACACATATAATTACATATTGTTTTTGTGATTAATCACTATGCTTTAATTATGTTCAATTTGTAACAATGAAAATACATCCTGCATATCAGATATTTCAATGACGATTCATAACAGTAGCAAAATTACAATTATGAAGTAGCAATGAAAATAATTTTATGGTTGGGGGTCACCACAACATGAAGAACTGTATTAAAGGGTCGCGGCATTAGGAAGGTTGAGAACCACTGGTCTAGACCCTCCCACAAATAGATTGATTCAAGCTGCTTGGCACCTCACGACAGTAGGAAATCCACATTAGGTGGTACTGGGAATTGATTTTGGTAACTTGTTGCTTAGAGCAGCTATTTTCAAATTTTAATGCTCCTCCTAATTTTCTGGAAAATTAAAAAAAATAGAGGTTCTGACTCAGCAGATGTGGGATGAAGCCTGACATCTGCATTTCTAATAAGTTCCCAGGTGATGCCTGGTCCATAGATCATACTCTAATGAGCAGGATATAGACCATCTCAGAAAACAGGATGTTACAGGCTGTATAAATCAATTAGCCTTTGCATTTCCTGGAAATGCAGATTCCTTGCTGAATGAGATGGTAATATTTAGCACATTGTGGACGGATCACAAGAATTCGTGTGTTTTCTGTTCTAAGCTTGTGGCCAATCACGAGAATTCTTTAAAAAGATATTAACTTGTAGGAACATGTAATAAATAACTTCAAAATTCCATGGGTGTTTAATTTTAAAGCGTGCTTTTAACATTTATGTAAAACGTTTTTTGTACTTGTTCAATAGGAACTTACCTGGCCACTGGGTAAAGCTAGCAATAAAACTACTGGTCTGCAATGTGTTAAATATCACATGCAGCCACTGATTATTACAATTCAGTCCTCAAAAGATTGTTAGAATGACAGAGGGACAGACCTTTGGTTTGGATGACAGCAAATGACTTCATAAATAGACTCAGGTAAGAATCAGTGTTCCCCAACCCTCTCCTCCACCTCTAACCTCGGGGAAAGAATCACACTACATTGCTGTCTCCATTATACATTTAACCTGGCTAACTAAACAGATTTCTGTATGTTGACTTGATTTCCCAGGTAGAAGAAAGAGAGCTGTGGCAATTGGATGACACAAAATCCAGTGGGGAAGAAACCAAGATGGCGGCATAGGTAAACATCAGAGATTGCTGCCTCGCACAACCACTTCAAAAATACAACTAAAAGACGGAACGGACATCATGCAGACCACAGGAAGGCTGGCTGAGTGGAAATTTTACAACTAGAAGGAAAGAGAAAAGCATACTGAGACTCAGAGGAGGTGCGGTGCGGAGGTAAAATACAAAGGTGCGGAGGTGCATGCAGAGAGGGCTGGCGGCTCAGGACACGATTGTCTTTTTCAATTGGGAGGGAGTCTCAAGCTCTGAGCTCCAGTTCCGGGGGAGTCTCTGGGGACCCAGACTCATACGGGAGAAATGGGACTGTTTGGCATCAGTTGTAACTTGAGGGAAGCTTTCTCTCAGAGGCGCTCGCAGCGATTGCCGGGGCCTCTGAGGGCAGGACTGAGAGCAGCCATA